TATTTTTACTTTATTCGATAGAAAATTACACTGTGAATAGAATAACATATTATATGTCAACTTTTGACATTTTTGCTTAAAAACAAATCGTATTTTAAATTTCAATCTAGAGAGCGCCATGGTGGTGTTAAAAACACTAATTGTTAATCAAGGAACCTTGGTCAAATAGTTTTGATCGTCTAAATGTTCTTCGTGTTTTGTCCTGGCCGGTTAAAATATGCCCAAATCGTATTTTTAATCATATCTGATTTTTTTCAAATGGAACAATGTTTTTGCGAATAATTTGGTATCCCTCACTTGGTATCTATTTTGTGTCAAATTGTCGTTATGAACCGCATGTTACAATTTCAAATAAACCATATGTAAAAATGTCAAAAGTTGATATATGATATGTCATTCTATTCAGAATGTCATTTTCTATCGAATAAAGTAGAAATATACAGAAGGTGCCATTTAAAAACCAAAAATTGTAGTCGTTTCCGGTGAAACAGGAAGTGACCAAAAACAATTGAATACGTCAATCAATCCTAATTTAGGTCATATACTAACATACCAATTCTCGTTTTTTTATCTGAAAAAATAGAAAAGTTATAGGGGTGAGCCACTTTTGAGTAGTGATGGGCAAAACTGTTATTTTTAGATAACACTTGAAACTGTTATAGTTATTTATAAAAAACAGCTTAAAATAACAGGTTTCTTTATTTTATTGCTAAATATCTGAAAGAGTATGAGGCGGTCACCGCCAGAGGCGTACTAACGCAGTTGCAAGTTGCAACAATGACATGCTCGGTGGTAGTATTTCCAGGGTGTCAAAACATTTTTAAATATCGATTGTTAGCTAAAATACCTCCCTAAAAACGGTGGTTGTTTACAAATAAGCGCTGTTTACAAATTGCGATATAAAAAAAAAAATCCGCCACTCGTCTATACCTCTACATTCCGATCTACCTACGCCTTGCCCCTCGATCCGCGTCAATCCTGAATTGCGTAGCAGTGTACAAGGTGCATCTCACTCGACGGGCGTGAAGCTCTTAGTTATAATTTTACCATTTGCGGTCAAAAAATAGCAATATAAGAAAATGTGTAGTATATTATTCATAAGTAAACCAACTACACACTAGAGTTCGAATTAATTTTACACTTAAACTAGCATGTACCCGCGACTTCGTTCGCGTCGAATTAATAATTTGTAATGGTGATGATAAAGCAAAGCAAGAATTTCTATTGACATACAAACTGGATAAAATTTTCTCACATTTGCCAAAAATAAGCTTTAAACGTCGAGCAGTTTAAGCAGAATCGTGGTTAATCAATTACTCAACTTTTTGGAACACCCTGTATTATTTTTTAAAAAATTTCAAAATATGTAAAAAAACAAAATAAATTATGCGTGTCCAAGCGTTTTCCCGAAAGACTAACCGTTTTTTAAATAACAAATATTGTAATATTTGAGGGGCGTTTTCACCCTCTTGGAATTTAAGATTCGAGAAACCCCTCCTTATCGAACCTCAACCCCACAGTCAATCCGTTTGCCAAAAATCAGCTTTAAACGTCAAGCAGTTTAAGCAGAATCGTGATTACTCAATGGTCACATTTTATGAAACACCCTGTATATATTTTTAAAAAATCTTAAAATATGTAAAACAACGAAATAAAATATACGTGTTTAAGAGTTTTTCCGGAAAACTCACCGGTTTTTAAATAAAAAATATTCTAATATTTGAGGGTGGTTTCACCCCCTTTGAATTCGAGTTTCGAAAAATCCCTTCTTATCGAACCTCTACACCCTAAAGTCAATCCGTTTTCCAAAAATCAGCTTTTTACGTCAAGGGCTTTAAGCAGGATCGTGATTAATCAATGACCAGATTTTTCAAAACACCCTGTATACATTTTTAAAAAATCTTAAAATATTATTCTGAAAATTTTTCAGAATAAATAAATACCTAAATATTGAAACTTAATAACGTACTGAAACATACAGCGCCATAATATCTCGACCTCCGCCCGTTATGCTCGTAACAGGTTGAAAAACAATATATCTAAAACAACTGATGCGTTATTCTCCAACCTGTTTCGAACTTCCATCGACAATCGACCGATGCAGCAGCCTTCCTTTCCCACTCCTGTTATCTCGACCGCCAGGCGTTATGCCCGCAACTGTTTCAAAAAACCTGCTTCTTTTATATCCTATTATTTTTAAGCTGTTATAAGCGCAATACGACCGTCGACGGGATCGACCGAAGCAGCTACGTTCGCCGTAGCGCATTCCCCACTCCGTTGTCCGTTGTCTCGCCGCCTGTATCGATGGTTGACGAAATAACATGTTTTCCATCCATACTAGTTGTTTTTTGGAATTGCTTCGAGCAGCATAGAATTTCGTGGTGGTGCAGAGCGCCGACTTCGTTTTTCGTTTCACGAGCGGCCGATCTCTACGTGTCGTTATTTTATATCTGTTATTTTTTAGAAGTAGTAACGGTTGCTTTATGTTATTTCTCAAGGTCTACGCATATCTTCTAAAAACATGCGTTCATTATCTCACTTAAAAAATTTTTCAGACAGTCTCTTCTTCCACAATTACGTAAAACTATACAGAAAAATTTATCATAAGACTATAAGAGCCGCTAAGGACCTTTATTATAATAGGAGAATAGTCAATTCTGGTAATGTTGCTAAAGAAACATGGTCTATTGTGAATCAGTTGAGAAACAAAGCTTCTTCGTCTAGCAATATCTCTACCTCACCTGAGAACCTTAACGATTACTTTGTAAATGTAGCGAAAAACTTAACTAATACCATATGTCCTCCTTGTCGCAGTCCACTTTCTTATCTCTCTCTAATGATATTGTAAACTTACGTTTCTTTTTTTCGCCCGTAGTTTTAGAAGAGCTTCGCAGTACAATTAGTACCATCAAAAATAAATCCTCTTGTGGGACCAACGGGCTAACTTTAAAATGTTTTCGAATCTGCCAGAAAGCACTCTGAATCACCTAACAACTTTAATAAACATGTCGTTCCAAAATGGTATTTTTCCAAAATGTCTTAAGACGGCAATAATCATTCCTCTGCATAAAGGCGGAGACAAAGATGAAGCTTCTAACTATCGCCCAATTGCACTCCTTCCAACGCTATCTAAGATCATAGAAAGGTTGGTTAAAAGAAGGCTGGTATCTTTTGGAAGGCTTTTCTGTTTAAGTACAAAATACTTACTGAATATCAATTTGGATTTCGAAGCAACAAGTCCACAAATGACGCTATGTTTTCCCTGCTTAATAATGTTTACTCCAGCCTAAACAACCATCATTCTACAGCAACAATTTTCTGTGATTTTTCTAAGGCGTTCGATTGTGTAAATCATAAGATCTTAATTAATAAACTGCAGCACTGTGGGTTCAGGGGATCATCTCTCGAATCGTTTAAGTCGTATCTGAGCGACAGAAGTCAACTTGTGAGGGTGGATACCACGTTGTCTTCTAGCAAGCCAATAGAATGTGGAGTACCACAAGGCCCAGTACTAGGCCCTATTTTGTTTCTTCTTTTTATTAACGACATTGCTAACATAAACATCAGTGGCAAAATATGTCTTTTTGCGGATGACACTAGCTTCACTTGGAACAACAAGGACATCACGGCACTTCATAGGATTATATCAAATGACTTAATCACCATTAAATCTTGGTGCGATTCGAACCTCCTGACTCTCAACATTTCTAAAACTAAAGCTTTGTCGTATAAAAACTCGTTGCAGCCTTTTGTACTTAACAACACCACCATTGACGTCGTCAAATCTGTAAAGTTCTTGGGGCTTGTTGTGGACAATTCTCTGAAATGGGACATACATATCGAAGCTTTGTCAAAAAATTGAGCTCTGCCTGTTTTGCATTAAGGTACTGTTTCTAAGGAGCTTAACTTGTCAGTGGCTAGAACTGTTTATTATGCACTTTTTGAGTCGCACCTCAGGTATGCCCTTCCATTCTGGGGTACGTGTTGTGCGACTCAATTTGACCGCATTTTCAGGCTCCAGAAGAGAGCTGTTCTATATTCACTGGGACTAAACAGCAGAACTTTTTTAAAAAATTAAAAATATTGACTCTTCCTTCCTTATTTATATTTGAATCCATTTTCCTAATAGGTAAACATGTATCAGCTTCTCAAGGAAGGTCATCTCACACTTATCCACTCAGGAACGCGGAGCAAGATCTTTATCTACCTACCCCACGCTCAGAGTTAGTTAAAAGTTCAATACTATACAACTCGAAAAAAATGCACAATCACCTGCCATTTGAAATCAAATCCATAACATCATTTTTTTCATTTGCAAAGAATTGAACTCTTATTTACTAGACAAGGCTTTCTACGCCGTAAATGAATTATATTTTGAAAATAAAATTTGATCTTGTAAACACTGGTCTACTGTTTGCTATTGCTATATTTACTAATGACATCGAAATGAATTTATTTAGAGGTCATTGATATTTTACTATAAACTAGCTAAATATTTTTAATATTATTTTATTTTTTTTTGTTCTTTGACATTATAAACATTTATAAATGTTTATTTTAACAATAAGACTGACAATATTATTTGTATAATGTTTTGTATTATCTTTTGTTTGTTTGTTTGTGTACCTTCTTTTTTTACTTTGTTTGTTAGTTTACCTTTGTCTACAAATTGAAAAATTTTTTGACAATAAAGGCATTTATTTATAAATAATTGTTATAAAATAACAGATAGTTAAATAACATCCCATCACTACTTTTGAGACGTACCCGGTATATACACTGTATGTACATTGTTAATCTAAGGTATGTACCGTATAATGGAAATAAAAACGGCTTCAAGATGGGTCGAAAATGACGATCAGTGATATTCGCCATGTAATTTAACATAACAATAATTAAACGATTTCATTGCCAAGCGAATTCAGACGCCCTTTTTTCTCGATCGAATGGTATACTAACAGATAAAACGCAGTTATTAGGTAGTTAAATATTATACTAACTTTCCATGTTCGTCTGGTACAATAAATCCTTGGGGTCCAGGTCGGTTAGCCGCTCCTGCCCAGAAAAATGTGTCGGCTCCATTTCCGTCATAACTGAAAGATGTTAGAAGCAAAGTGTATTTATCTACAGCATATACGTCTCCTGAAACCTGATGATGATAGGAATTTAGTTTTCCAATCAATTTTCCTTTGTATGGTCCGTCATCGTCTTGACAAATTCCTAACAAAAAATTAAAATTATAAAAATTAATGAAATCAAAGATAGTCTATTGGACTTAGAAGTTAGAAAGATAAAATATATTTATTTAGGAGAATATGACAATTGGTTTTTGAGCTAAAGAAAATGTATTTAGTTTTAAGAATTTCCATTAGTAAACGCAATTATTACTTTGTTTAATTTCGAATATGTCCAATAAAGCACATTTTCAAGGAAGTCGAACATATTCTGAAAATAGCTGTTTTTTGTTGGATTTGGGTAAAATAAAACTCAGGTTTTTAATTTAGTATGTCGACGTTTTGACATATACAGGGTGTTACAAATACGAGCACTGGTATCTCGGTAACCGTAATAGATACCAAGATGGTTAAATTGGGGTTCAGTTGCGCCTGGGATGTTCACCAAGATGCTATCAAAAAAGTTTTAAAAATTTCAAGGATTACTGAGTTTTTCGGAAAAAACGGATTTTTTGAAAATCAATTTTATTTTTTCCCGTCGTTACTTTTTAGAAAATCAAAAAACTAATAGCCTATTCTCATAGCCACTTCATTAGGGCTATCTCACAGTATTTTTAGATTTTCAAATTAGCTGATAATTTGTCAAATATAGAGGCCGACTTATTTTTTTTAAATACGGACCTTCATTTTTTAATTCAGTTCTAATTAGTTTTTTGATTTTCTAAAAAGTAACGACAGGAAAAAATAAATTTATTTTCAAAAAAATCCGTTTTTTCTAAAAAACTCAGCAATCCTTGAAAATTTTTAAACTTTTTTAATGGCATTTTTGTGAACATCCCAAGGCACAACTTTGCCCCAATTTAACCATCTTCGTATCTATTACGGTTTCCGAGATACATATGTTCGTACCTCGAATTTGTAGCACCCTGTATATAAGGGTCTTCCTCAGGACTATTTTATTTTAAAACTCCTTTCTCCGTATTCGTTATACATATTTCTATTTAAGAAATACATAATTTTTTAAAAAGCATACAGGGTGGCGCACCTCATTCGCCTCGGTCGATTATACGAAAACGGAAAGATGTAGGAACAAAATTTTTTTTTGGGTCTATGTAGAGAGGCAATGTCCATCATTTAAAATTATTTTCAAATGTACAGGGTGCGTCAGAACTAAGATCCATACCAAAGTTATATTTTTTCTTTGGAACATCTGGTATTTTATTTCATTTTTGGATTCTTGGGCATAAAATAAGGCATTTACTATAATGGTTTAATATCTTTAAATCCTTTGGTTTTTGAGATATTTAAAGTTATTTAAATATGCATATTATAATAAAAAATATTATATATACACCCTGTACATTGCTTTTCAGAATTAATTCTTGTGCTGACTTTGAAACCAGAGAAATAAACTTTATTAAAAAATTTATTGCTTCCTTAAATGTATACAGGGGTATCAAAAATTACTGGTCTATTTTAAATATTTGTTTTACATAAAAGCTTCGTTATTTCAAATACAACAATATGTATTTTTTTAAACAAGTCGAAGCAGATTTAAGTGCTGTTTCAAACTATATTAGGGTTTCTTATACCTATCTGGCTCAGATTTTGAATAAAAAGCAGTTTTTCAATAAAATGGCAATCAAGATGGCTGGTGTCGCCATGGCAATTTTCTAGTGACAGTTAGTAGCTATTTTTAAAATCGACAGTATATGTACTTTATTTAAATTTATAACAATTTACTTTTACCTCATTTACCTACAATAGTTTAATAAGTAAGTATGTATTATTTTATCAAGAAAAATAAAGATGTAGTTCTTTTTAATTTATATTACGATGACTAGTAGATATATTGGATTTTCTATAAAAGAACCAATTAAGGCAAATTCATTTTCATCACTTCCAACGACAGGTTTCTGCCTAATATGTTTTTCATATACCACCATCAGCTCTACGAAATACGAAAAGTAGTTTTTCAAAGGAACGCTTGTCAAGAAAATTCCTATTTGGATGTCTGAGCATAACCTAACCCCTAACCCTTCAGGCCAACAAACAATTGTCCTCACAAAATAAAATCACTAGCATATCCATTCTTTCCGCCATCATATACTAATTCATTTTTCTTGATAAAATAATAAATACTTACTTATTAACATTATTGTAGGTAAATTGAATAAAAATAACCCGTTATAAATTTAAATAAAGTCCATACACTAATGTCGATTTTGAAAATAGCTACTAAGTGTCATTAGAAAATTGCCATGGCGACACCAGCCATCTTGATTACAATTTTATTAAAAAATCGCTTTTTATTCAAAATCTGAGCTAGATAGGTATAGGAAACCCTAATATAGTTTGAAAGAGCATAGAAATTTGCTTCAACTTATTTAAAAAAATACATAGTGTTGCATTTGAAATAACAAAGTTTTTATGTAAAATAAATATTTAAAATAGACCAGCAATTTTTGATACCCCTGTATACATTTAAGGAAGCAATCAAATTTTTTTAGTAAAGTTTATTTCTTTGGTTTGAAAGTCGGCGCAAGAATTAATTCTGAAAAGTAATGTACAAATTGACAAACTTTTTTATTATAGCATGCATATTTAAATATCTTTAAATATCTCAAAAACCAAAGCTTTTAAACATATTAAACCCTTATAATAAATGCCTTATTTTATGTCGAAGAATCCAAAAATGAAATAAAATACTGGGTGTTCCATAAGAAAAAATATAACTTTGGTATGGATCTTAGTTCAGACCAGAGAAATAGAAGGGATAGAGAATGAGCGTCAACATGCGCAGAAGGTCTAATCAAGTTGGGCGCCATATTCCAGATCTTCGTGTCATTTTGTATATAGGTGGTAATCTATAAGTAATCAAATATCAATTTGCTGTTTTCAACCATACGGGGGGCAATTTAAATTTAGTGAAATGCTATCATTTATTATGGATCATAGACTTAAAATAAAATATAGACTACACTATTTACATCTCCACGCGGTCAAACAATTTTTTTTGTACACACATGTTTACTTCTGGGTACAGTCGACCGAGCCTTCCTCATCCAGCCTATGTTGTCACGTCTTTAATATTATCAATATTTTTTTTCTTGTTATACACATATATTGAGATATTAATACTACAGTTTAATAAAGTAGGTTTTAATATCCCATAGATGTATTAAATAGTCCTTATACTACTAAATTATAAGTCGGACACTGTTTAAAAAGGATAAGTTCTTTACAATATGACAACACCGATTAGAGGCGAGGGAGCATATTAGTACGCGTCGCACGTGTGCGGTAAAGCTTTGTTGCCGCTATGTCCCCGGCTGTATTAACGCATTTTCTTAGCTTGTAGTTCTTAAGTGTTTATTTTATTGACTTTTTCTGTTCAAGAACTATAAAATATGGTTCGCCAGTGCCAAATTTGCAAGAAATTTGACTTAAATAATCCATTTAAGTCTTGAAACGACTTTCGACCGGTAAGCAACTTTCAATTTACCCAGTGGGAGTCAGGGGCGTTGTTGCAGAAAGGAGCTTATGTAGATAATATTTTAGTAAAATGTAAAATCTGAATTTTTCTCTTACATTACATTATTTACTTACTTACATTGTAACAAAATCATAATTATAACCCTGTTAATAATTAATAATGTTTTTATTAAAAATATATTCCGGTTTATTCTAAAATTATCTTCAGAATCTAAAATAACATACAAGAATTTTAAAATGATATTACATTATGAAACAATATTTTTAATAATACCAGGTCGTCTCAAAAGTGGCTCACCCCTCTATAACTTTTTTATTTTTTTAGATAAAAAAAACAGATTTGTATGTTAGTAGGTATATGACATAAATTAGGATTTATTGACGTACTCAATTGTTTTTGGTCTCTTCCTGTTTCATCGAAATGATTACATCTTTTGATTTTTAAAGGCACCCTCGGTATATTGCTACTTTATTCGATAAAAATGACACTCTGAATAGAATGACATATCATATTTCAACTTTTGACATTGTCGCTTAAAAACAAATCGTATTTTAAATTTCAATCCAGGGTGCCATGGTGTTGTTAAAAACACTAAGTTTTAATCAAGGAACCTTGGAAAAATAGTTTTGATCGTCTAATAGGTTTCGTGTCTTGTCTAGGCCGGTTAAAAGATGTACAAATCGTATTTTTAATCCTACATATGTCAATTTTTTCAAATGGGACAAGGGTGACTCATTAGCATATTTGGAAAAAGCATTTTTTTATGAATATATTGATACCACACACTTGGTATTTCGAATCAAATTGTCGTTATGAACCGCGTGTTACAATTACAATTAAACCATATGCGAAAATGTCAAAAGTTGACATATGATATGTCATTCTATTGAGAGTGCCATTTTCTATCGAATAAAGTAGAAATACACCGAGGGTGCCGTTTAAAAATTAAAAGTTATCGTCATTTCCTGTGAAACAGGAAGTGACCAAAAACAGTTGAATGCGTCAATCAATCCTAATTTATGTCATATACTAACATATTAAATCTTCTTTTTTTATTTGAACATATAAAAAAATTATGGGGGATGTGCCACTTTTGGGACGCACCCGGTATAATAAAGACAGTAACGAGTTAAATAAATGTAGTTTTCATTTTATCCACTTCCTATCACCTTCCTTGCTTTAATGGAACAGATTTATGTTTTTTCTAATTTACATAATAAGACGACACCACTTAACCAGAAAAAAAATTACAAAAATCATATTTATTTTTCTCTCCCTGTCGCCGATTCTATTATATCTGTGGAATAGATCCTGTTTTGATTAATATTAGGGGTTGTAAATATTTGACTAAAATTAATAATTTATTATTAATTTCAAAAATTACGTAATTTCGATTATAACATTTCTTCTATAACGTGTATTTTATTATTTTTATCCTTTTTGGACTCTAAATCGTTTTTTCTAAACTTTTATTTAAAAAATCTGTCCTAAATCTTAATAAAATATAAAAAAGTTTAAATATGATATATTTTTAATTTAATTATAGCTTC